GCTGGGCATGGTGGTGCATGCCTATAGTCCCAGCTACTTGGGAGGCTGAGGCAGGAGGATCGCTTGAGTCCAGGAGTTTGAGGTTGCTGTGAGCTAGGCTGACGCCACGGCACTCTAGCAAGGGCAACAGAGCCAGACTCTGTCTCAAAAAAAAAAGAATTCATCTGCACAGAGGTGATCGTTAAAACAGTGGAAGCACATGAAATATTGAAGGAGAAAGTATAGAGTAAAAAAAGGAGATAGCTGGACAGAATCTTTAGGAATGCTTACATTTAGGAATAAAAAAGAAAAGAAAATGTGATAAGAATAAGGAGACAGTAGTATTATTGAAAGATTTGTAGTTAAGACGAGGATCAAGAGAGTTATATGACATGGAGCGTAAAGATGAAAATGGGTTTTAATGAGAAAGGAAATCAGAAATATCAGACTTATTAATATACAGAGAGGTTAAGAATGAAAAGAGTGAAGATTAGTGGTATCTGGTGATTAGAAAAACTTTAGTGACTTTACAGACCAAGTGGATGGGAGGCTGGGAGTTTAGCATAAATATTGAAGATTATATGCTCGGAAATGTATGAGTCTAAAAAAAAAAGATTCTGAGAAGTGGAGAGGAGGTAGACATAGCATAGCAGGTATAAGACTTTTCCTTTAAGGTTAACACAGGAGAGATGTTGATGGTATCGAGAGGGAAGGAAATAGATAGGGTAAAGGGATGGCCTTGAGAGAGATCAGAGGTCATGCTGAGAAATAAGGGAATGGAAATGTGGAAACTGTAGTTAAAGAGTGAAACTTAAAGAATTTAATTGCAGGTAAAACTGGTTTTATTAAAAAAATTTTTTAATTAAAAAGAATTTAAGAACTTTGAAGTGGTAGAATTTTGTATGATCAAATCCCACATATGACCTACATAGAATCAAGGAGGAATAAAGGGCCAAGTGGTAATTAAAAAAAAAAAAAATCAGGACCAGAGGTTGATGAAGTAAGGCAAAGGAAACAAGCAAGTGTACTTGCAAGTTTGGGAAAAGACTGAAGATAGCTTCTTGTTCTGATTGAAGGCCTTTGGATTCAGTCCCATGGGTATACCTCTTCTGCTCTAAATAAGTAGTGAATTGATTCATGCAAAAACATTTATTGTACATCTAGTATGTACCAGACACTGTTTTAGGTGTTTGGGGTATGTTACTGAGTCCTGTGTATGATAGTACCAATTTGTTAACTAGCTTGTTTTATATACTGTGGTATAAAAAATAGTCTTGTGCTACTTAAATTATGCCCCAAACATGAGTTCCTTGAGGTCAGGGTTTATGTCTTATTCATCCTTGTATTCTAGTTACTTAGGCATAGCACCTGATGCTTAATAGGTATGTTCAGGAAATGTTTGAGTTACTGAAACTGTTAAATAAAGGACCGAATAATTCTAGAAGATTTTTACATGCAATTACTCTGTGTTTTTTAGAAGGTAGAAGGAAAACAATAGTAAAAATATGTATAGTGTTATAGAGCCTTTTAAAGAGAAAGATGCTTTTTAAAATATCAGTAAGTTTGGAGTCTTGCTATAAAGGCAAAATGTAATAAAATCATGAAATGTGTTATTAAATTATTTCCTTTATAGTATAATTTTTCCATATATAACAGAGAAAGTCTCTCCTGTAGGTATTTTTGGTAATGCATGGTATTACTACAGTCATGTAAGGTGGTTCTAGTATTCTTTACTAAATACAAAAGTGAATCTTTTCTCAGCAATGAAGAATAGGCCCTATACATTCACTTGTCACTAGGATGCTTTCCATGCTTTAATTATTTTAACCAAGAATGTTAGAGGAAAGAATAAGAAAATAGAGTAAGGTAGCATTAATTCGAACTCTCATCTCTGCAATATTGCCAGGCATAGATGTAATTCTGTGTACATTTTTTCCCATTTGAATCTGTAATGAATAAAGCTCATATTTTGTTGATATTTTCTGTTCGTTTGCTTCTAGTTGTCATTCTTTTTAGAGTTAAAAGAATTTTTTTGTTATCAAATTATGTACAATCAGTTCTTAATTGTTGCTGCAACAGCGATAATGTCATTTAGTTATTGCTCATGTTTTCTGCTTGTGAGATCCAAGGTTTAGCTCAGTTGCTCCTTCACAATAATAAAATTAGTGTTTTAACTATGCATGTAAGAATGCCAATTCATTAGTTATTATAGAAGTATTTCTATCAGTTTCCAATCCTTGACAATTTCAATTGTTCTGAATTTTTATAATATTTTATATAGTTTAGTTTTGAGTTTACTCTCTGCAAATTTCTTTGTATTAAATCACAGCTAATACATATAATTGATAAATATAATTTAAGAATTATTATTTTGTAAAATATAAATTAAAAATTGATCTAAATTTTCCAAAACTGGAATGTTTAGTTCAACTTGCTTATCAGGAAAATTGATAAAGAAGGAAATGTAACCAATCATAGTATGTCTATTAGTAAAACATTTGATTAAACACATTTGAGTCAAGAAGTTTAATTGATTGGTGAAAACAAGGGATTTTATATGTAATAACAAATGAAAACAAGCACTGGTTTTTAAGATTACAAGCTCATTTTTTAGAGAAACTAGCTGGGTTTCTGAGATTTGCCAAAAAAAAAAAAAATTAACATCTTTCTGGTGATCTATCGCTGATCTTAAAGATAGTGACATTTGGGTACTTTTTTTTTTGCAGTAGAATGCCCTATTTTATTTGGACTCATATTCAATGCTAATGCAGCAGCCCAGAACTCTGGGAACAAAAAAGTTACCAATTTACCAATTTTCTGTTTAGGCTTTGATGAACCAAAACAAAAATTGGCTGACTTAAAAAAGACACCCAAGTTTGTGCCCTTTCCTTATCCACCTACTTCACAGTTTCTTTGTGGGCTTCCTCGTAAGGACACTTTGAGGATCTTCCATGGGAGATTTAGTTATTGCTTTGTTGTAATGGAAACACTAACCTGAATCAGAACTTTTTCTTATAAGCTCATACAAGACATACTTGATGAAATTTATTCAAATCTTATTCATTTAAAGTCATTCAAATCTGCCTATTTCTTTTTTTTTTTTTTTTTTTTTGAGACAGAGTCTCACTGTGTTGCCCTGGCTGGAGTGCCATGACATCATCCTAGCTCACAGCAACCTCAAACTCCTGGGCTCAAGCGATCCTTCTGCCTCAGCCTCCCGAGTAGCTGGGACTACAGGCATGTGCCACCATGCCCAGCTAATTTTTTCTATATATTTTTAGTTGTCCGATTAATTTCTTTCTATTTTTAGTAGAGACGGGGTCTCGCTCTTGCTCAGGCTGGTCTCGAACTCCTGAGCTCAAACAATCCACCCGCCTTGGCCTCCCAGAGAGCTAGGATTACAGGCGTGAGCCACCGCGCCCGGCCCAAATCTGCCTATTTCAACAAAGAATGTAGCATTGTTTCAGTAAAGAATATAGGATTCATATCAATCTTTGAGAGTACACTCTAACCTTTTTTAGGACTACCCCTTGGTTTTCAGGGAGCAAAAAAGCAAAGAGGAGAGATTTAGTTGATAACTAAATGATAACAAAAAGTATACTTTATTTTTAACTTACATTTTTTTATTTACTTCAGACATACTGTGTTAAAACTAAATTGCATTGCACGGTCAGGGCTGGGATAATATAAATAGGAGATATTAAGGAAGCTTTATTCTGATTTAAAAACAGAGCACACTACTTTTCATACAGTAAATTCTTAAGATAACCTGGAGTTTAGGGTTTGATATTCTATTTTCATAGTAGCAAGCCAGGGTATCTTAGTTATTTCCTGGATATAAATGGAAGATTTTCAAGTATTAAAAAAAATTTCTGCCAAACTCCTACAAAGTATGAAAAATAAGTTGTTTTTGATCATGTAATACTCTGACCTGGGATTATAACAGTATTAGATTCTCTTTAGAGTAAAAGTGGAGGTTGAAAAGTCATACTCACTTGAATTAAATATTGTCTTACTATCGGAAAGTTAAAAATGATTTTTATATTGATAACCACCTGTGAATGCATTTAGAAATATCTTAGTAGGTTTATTAATCAAATCCTTATGCTGTCTCATGCATTGTCTTACTAGGCTAGAATATAATCCCTTTTTGGTATCAAGATACTCTTCTCACCTAAGAAGTACAGTCATGCACCGCATGATGATGTTTCCATCAGTGACACACCACATATGACGGTGGTCCCTTAAGATTATAATACTGTATTTTTACTCTCCCTTTCCTATGTTTAAATACACAAATACCATGTGTTACAAATGCCTACAGTATTCAGTACAGTAACATGTTGTGCAAGTTTGTAGTCTAAGGAGCAATAGGCTATGGAATAGGTGTGTAGTAGGCTATACCTAGGTTTATGTAAATACACTCTATAATGTTTGCACAACAACAAAATAACCTAACAACTCATTTCTCAGAACTTATCCCCGTTAAGCAGTGCATGACTGTGTTAGAGAACAGAGCTTCAATTCTGGCACATGGAAACAGGGATCTCTTTGCCTAGAGTGTATGATAATTTGAGTAATGACTTGGTGACAGATTGTGGACTTATTTCAGTATTTCAATGGTATTCAACTGTAGATTAATAGGATATTTTTATTTTCCTCATAAGTAAAAAATCTTGATAATGTATTAATGTACGTGTATTAACAGAAAATTGGCCTCTCTTTCTCAGGTCAAACTATTTTAATTAGTGAAAATTATTTACTTAAAACATTAGTTCTCAAATCTCAAATTCAAAATAAATAAAGTTATGCCATTCATTTTAATTATTTTTAGAATACTTTCGTATTTCTAGAAACATCTTATTCTATAGGGTTTGAAGAGTAGAAAATGCAGCAGAAAAAATGTAAAATAAAAATTTAATAGATAAGAAATTATTGTAAGTTTTAACTGTGAACGCTGAAATCAGATAAATCTCTCTGTTTTTACAGTACAACTTTAAGTGTGTTTTTTTCCCTCCCAGGACATTTATTCAGAGCAGCTGGGGATCAACCGTTTAACCTGTCCACAGTGTCGAGTGCCTTCCCAATGGTCAGCCACCCAGTCTTTGGTCTACATTCAGCCAGCTCAGGGCATTCAGAATTTGGTGGTTTGGGGACACTTGGTACACCCACAGCCTTAGCCGCACATCCCCAACTAGCATCTTTTCCAGGTAAACATCTGATACAAACAGTGTTCAAGGAAAGGAGGAAAGCTTGAAAATATTCAAGCAGTAATTTGTTTATTAAATTGAACAAAAAAGAATAGTCTAATACCTGTTATATTAAAACTCTTGTGCAAGAATTGGCTTAATTCTATTTATCATTTGAAAAAAAAAACACTGTGTGTTAAGTGGCAGAGCAGTTAATTAGGTATTCAGATATTTAGAAAAATAGGCATCTATAACGGAAGGGAATAATTCAGCAAAGTTTTTTTCATGCTTTCTATTGAAATATAGTACACAAAAAAGTGTACATATTATTAAGTATAAAGTGTGATGAATTTTTCTCAGCTTTATTTGATTTTTTTTTAAATTATTTAACTTATGTTGTGAAACTAAAGTCCAATTTTTTGTTTTTTATTTTTTAAATTTCATTTTAATAGATTTAGTGGGTACAAATGGTTTTTTGTTACATGGATGAATTGTATAGTGGAAAAGTCTAGGCTTTTAGTGTACCCATCACCGAAATGATGTACAGAATGAATATTACTACATTTTTATTTTGGGTTTTCACTTCACTTTGTAAAAAACATGAGCTTGACTCTTAAGTTTCTATATTTTTCTATATTTGATTAAAACAACCATAGAGTTGCACCACTTATGTGGCAAGAAGACCACTATTATCCAAAATTCTACAGATTATAAGGATTCAGAAAGACACCAATTAAAGCTTAATTTAGACAAACACACTTTAATTTGTCTTGATATATTATCTCAAAAGTCTAAACTTGAATGTGTTTCCCAGTGATTAATTTTACTTTAATAAATTTAGTGAGGGATGCGTGTTTTAGTGTACATAAAATAGTTTAAGACATTGAAACATAATTCTAGAAACAAATGGATCTGAATTTAAATCTGGCTTTGCCGCTTCGTAGCTATGTGACTTTGCAAGATAATCTGACCCCTCAGCTTTAGTTTTCTCATCTGAAAAACAAGGTTAATAATAATAGTACCTGCCTCATAGTATTCCTGTGAAGATTAAAGAAGATAAGTCATATTTAATGCTAAATACAGTGTCTGACACATGTATTTAGTCTGTACTTGGTAACTATCATTATTATTTTCTTTTGCCCACTTTAGTCGTTAACAAATTGGCAAGTGCTTCTTTAAAAGGAAACAAGTTATCTTGTTTAAACTATATGTAGAAAGGATAGATGGTTAAATGTATATTTCAAGTACTATTTCTTGAGTCAAATTATTCCTTTACTTGAGTTGTCCAGGAGAGGGTATGGCTGGGGGTAGGGGGGAAGAATAATATGAGTAGACAGTTAAAGTCTTAAATTAAATCTTAACATTTCCTTTAAAAATATTAATAGGAACTTATTTATTTTCTAGCATGGTTACTTAGCAAGATAAGCATTCCATAGATATTTACTGAAGTATAAGATTGTTGAATAAAAATAGAAATAGATAATAATATAGTTACTGATATCTTAAATTTTTATTGTTTTATTATAGTTTATTAAACTATTGCTTTTGAACATTTCAAAACCATAATGTAATTACCGTATTATGAAAATGAAATATTTCTGCACTAGAATGATGATTAACAAGTATTAAAAATTAACTCATCTGGATTTCGATAATGTTGATACTTTGACTGTATAGAAAAAAATTTAAAAACTTCCCCAGCCTACATAAATTATTCACTTAATTCATTTAATGTACAGAGTTCTTGGAGCATCTACTATGTTCTGTGCACTAAGCCAGTTACTAAAGGAATACACTAACATAGTATATTTTATGTTGCTTATAGTTTTTAGGAGATGATTAAACATGCAATTTTAAGACAGAGTGTTTAATGATAAAAGTATGCCTATATGAGCATAATTTTTTGCCAAATGGGCAGAGACTGTGCCTGGTTTTCAAGGATTCATTTTGCTTAAGTTGTAGATTTGGTGCAATAACTTAAATATAAATAAATTCTCTATAATTGGCTTTATTCAGAAGGGTAACCAAATTGCCAAACTTTTAAAATCACCCAATAAATAAATGGGGACATATAGGGAAAACATTACTAGAAATTTTTTTTTTTTTTTTTGAGACAGAGTCTCACCGTATTGCCCGGGCTAGAGTGCCG